TGGTAGACGAGGAAGCCAGGCACCCAAGAGGCCTCTGAGGCAGGAAGGGCAGGGGGGCTCTGGGGACGACCACCACGGACTCCTTCCGCCCGGAAGGAGCTTGCTCCTAGTCAACAGGGTTGGGATTTCTCAGTCCAGGATGTGGCTGGTCCCAGGCAAAGACCCCAAGACCAAACGGGGCATTGTAGGAAATGGATTTGCCTGGGAGCTCTGAGTGGACCCTGGGTTAAGGCAGAGAGAAGACACCCACAGAGCTACCCAGCTGCCATCCTGGCGGAAACCCACAGTTCCTGGGACCAATGAGACCCAACTGCCACTTGCAAAACGCTGGCTTCGGGTCCCGTCCACAGGGCTTTCCTGAGCAGGCTGTCCTGCGCTCTTATTTTGGTAGGGAGACCTGGGAGTCCGCAGGCCCCTCACTCCTGCCCACCTCTGGCTCCTGCTCTAGAAGAGGCCTCCGTGAGGCTGCAGCGTGTCCTGCGGTGGGAACATTCTTTATGCTCAGAGCCCTGCTCTGATGACATATGTAAGTTGACAGCGAACATCCTATCAACTTGCTGGAGTGTATCTTGATTGTTAAAACACACTCTTAAAGGTGTACCGTCATTTATCAAATTAAAATAGCCAAGGCGCCCGCTCTTTCCGAGGCCTCCTTCCTCCGGCCTCCTGCCCTACCCCCAGGCCCAGCTCCTAGGAGATGCTGCCCCTGCTCCCCAGAACCCCCAAACTGGCATCCCCTCCGCCTGACCCTAACCTAAAACCAACCATCCCTCCGTCGCTGGCTTGTAACTCAGCACGCCGTAAAAAGAGCAGAATCGCCCGCGGCTGCCATCTTTACAGGTGCAAACTACCACCTCTCTCCACCTCTGCGTAGTCAGGGGGTTCGAACTGCTGAACTTGCAGTGAGGAAGGAGGTGAGCACTTAACCACTGCTCCACCCCAGGCGAGGGTAAGCCCACTAATGGCTGAGAAATGACAAACGCCAGAAGCCCCACCAATTAAATTTAAACTCATGCAAAGCTCACGGGCTAGTAAATTATTATTTTTATTAGCTGGAACCGAGTTCCCGTAAGAGCGAAAGTCAGCTTGGCCCCATGAATGGCTCTTGTATAATTTATTTAACTCCGCGCTCCCTGCCAAAGCCTGGAGTATTTTTAGCTTGTTCTGTTGTCGGGTGTGTGTCGGAGGGTATTTTTAGCTCCCCGGTGCCCCTCTCCTGCCTCCTGTGCGTTTTGTCCTGCCTGCACGGCTGCCTCGGACCCTGTCTCGCAGCCAGACGATGGGATTTCTAAGAATAAGTGGGAAGCTTTAGGGGTGCTCGCGCTTTCCAGGGGCGAGGTGCTACCGTGCCAAGTGGCTCCCTGTCCCCCTCTCTAATTTGCCTCATCAGTCACGTGACCTGAATGTCCCTACAGTAGTTACGGCTGCGGTTCAAGACCCGTTGGGGAAAAAAAGCAACCCACATTCCAAAAATGGGTTTTGGTGGAGTGGGCGGGGCAAACCACGGCCGAGGGCGGTGTAGGAGGCCACCAGCAGGTCCCCAAGGCTCCTGGGGGCTCTGATGTCAGGCTCTGGGCTCTGTCCCTGACTGAGCCGGATGGGTAGATGGGGTAGATGTTTTAGAAAGTACCTCTTTTCACATCGACTTAATGCTGGTAAGCATTGTAGGAACAGCCCACAGAGTGATGTAGTGAATGAGTTATCTACAAAAATGTAAATTTTTTTTAACCCTTTACCAAAAAATTATCATGTGACAAGGGAGGATCTTTTCATGGGTCTTTTCACACCAGGAAATGCCCTTTTCTTTTCTACTGGGATTTTGAAGAGGGGCGCTCAGAAGCATTTGGTTGGCAGGAAAAACTTTGTTTTTCTCCCACCAGATAGCGGACTGTCTGTTCCCCTCACACCACTCCAGGCCAAGAGGGGCTCCTGGCTTCGGAGGCGTTTGCAGCCAAGGAGGACAAGAGAAGGGGCGGGGAGGGGCCTCAGAGCCACAGGATTATTCAAACCCAGTCTTGCAACCGCACCAGGCAGAGGGCCAGGCCAGGACTGACCGGCAGCATGAGGGGGAGGGGACTGCTTGGCCACCAGGCGACGAGGTGCTGCGGCTGCCTGTCCCTGGGCCTCCCTGGGCCGGCTGCCTCCTTATTCAACCTCGGGATGCTCCAATCGCTTGAGGCAGCAGCTCTGATAAAAAATCTTGGTGAGTTTTCCTCCCCCCTAAATTTCACAGCTTTGCCTCCGGACCATCTGTATTAGAGACAAAATCTAACACTGCACTAAAAATAATGATTCCAAACATTTTAATTGCACCTTTCGGTGACAAGGTTACTGTAACAGCGCTTTGCCATAAAACCCCCACAGCCCGATTTTAAAGCTATCGGCACTTCCAGTTTTAGGGAAACAATGAGAACGTGTGGCCCGGCGTCCCCATCAGAGTCAGTCCCTCGGCTGACAGCACTGGACGGCGCCGAGCACAGGCAGCAGCCTGCTGCAGGCGAGGGTCCCCTCGGCGTGTGAAGGCCAGCACGGTACAGCCGAGGGAGGGGGGAGGAGAGGCGATGCCTGGGAAGCTGGGCCCCACTGTCCATCTCAGATTCAAGCCAGACAGACAACTGGGGATGGGGGCTTCCCTCTCAGTGGGGCATTGGCTGGAGGGAGGGCTGGGAGAGCCCACAGCCAGTCACCGGCCACAGACACAAGGACAATGTCCACCACATTGGCTGTCTGCAGATTGGCACATTCGGAAAAATGAAAAGAAAGAGAATTCGGTGCTGCATTTTCCTTCTTAAACTGGATCATGGACCCACACAGTCCAGACCGAGTCACCGGGATCCTGCTGCCTTTCTTGAGGGGAAAAAATAGACAGTGTTTATTTTTTTTAAAAAAGGATCTTTGTGCAAGGTGGAAGGCTCTCAGGTGGAGCTGGAGGTGGACACACACCTCCTGGTCAGTGCTAGCGAGCTAGCTAGAAGTACAGCTTCTCCAGACCAGGACCACAGGCCTGTATCCCCCGAAGGGGCACTCTGGGGGCCTTCACGGCCCTTAGAGGGGCTGGTTCAGTCAGAGGCAGGGTGGGGGTGGCGTTCTGAGATCATAGCACAGCATCTAGGGTATGGCCTAGGACAGAGGACACAGGACATGGCCCATGCGATGTCCCTTCACCCTGCTTGACCTACACTCAGAAAGCAGCGTGGACAAACCTGCAATGATCAGGACAGAGGTTCCTTCCAGTCCCCTCACCTGAATGGATAGCACCTTGGTCTAGAAAGGATGACAGAAGGTGGCCATCATGGCTGACCCAGACCTGCCTGCCGTGACTGCTCCGTGGGGAGAGGGCCACACGAGGTCTGCTCACTCGTGAACCCACCTGATGGGGTCTTTTCAGCAGAGGACATTCCCCACCACTGCTGTTGGAGACCAGGGGTGCTGGTGGCATTTGTGTGTCTGTCTGCCTGGTTAAAAGGCACATGGGGGGGGTGCAGACCTTCCCTTTCCATCCCCCCCACCAGGGGCCACCAGCCCACAGCCCCTCGAGTGCCTCTGCACTCCTGGGGTGGGCTGAGCTGGACACTACGTCCAACCAAGGAGAGGGAAGACACTTAATAAGGACGGGGGTGGGGTGTATATATTTTTAAAGCACCAATTGCTCTGCCAAGTACTTTTTCTCTTTCAAGTGATAAATCCAGAGAAAGAAAAAAAGAGAAGGTGGGGAGGAAGGAGAAAAGAAGAGCAGAACCAGAAAGAGTCTGGGGGCAGAGCAGGCAGTCGGGGGAGCTCTGAGGAGGAGCCAGGAGCTCCGAGAGCTGGGAGCCGGAGCCGGGAGCCCGGCTGGGCCTGTGCAGGGCCGGGGCTGCCCCATTCACTGCGCTTGGTCAGCACTGGGAATCTCCTATTGTACTTGCTAAGAGCCCATTAGTAATTAAGCAGTTTTGTGCATTTCCCCCTCTTTTTAGAAAATCTACATTTTTTTTCTTTTTGACATTTCTTTTCCGTCTTTCCCTTCTGACATTTTCCCTCAAAGCCCCGTTGCTGCCTTTTTAATGCACAAACTAATTGTAATCCCATTAAGGCAGATATAATTTTATTAGTACTCACAGTTCATCAAGTTGGCAATAATAACTGTTACTGCCAAATTTAAAAGAAAAGGAGAGAAAACGGCAAACAACGTTGCTGATGTTTAAGACGAGCTGCAGACAAAAGCCAACGGGCCTGCCAGGGTGACGGGGGTCCCCACGCAGCCCCCAGGCAGCGGCCCCCTGGCAGCCACGGCCCAGTGCCTTGGGACCTCCGGGTTTCCGCCGGGGTCCCCTTCGCCAGGCTCTGACCGCTGCGCTGTCGCCTCTGACCTTGCTCAGAATGAACCCGAAAACCACCAGAGGCAGGACAGCTCACGCCTGGGCACCCGACAGCCCTGCCCGGGAGGACACCCGAGGGGCGGCCACCAGTCTGCAGCGGAGGCCCGGCTCTCCTCGCTCAGCAAACAGGCGCGTACTCGGCTGCATCGAAATCCCAACGCCCAAAGGCGGCGGGGCTCCCCGGGCCCAGGGCGGCTGGCCACGCTTTGTCCGCCTTAGTGGGGCAGCAGAGGCACCTCCGACAGCCAACGCCTCCCCGCAAAGCCGTTCTCGCCCTGACACTTCCAGGCTTTATATAGAAACAGGCTTTGCCCGTCTGGCACCAGTCGTCCCAATGAACACGCGCCCCGCGCTCTCCACCAAATCCGGGGGGGGCCTCGGCCGCCGCCCCCTGGCCCACAAGGGCCGTTTTGTTCCGCAGGAAGCGCCACCTCATCCAGGCCAAGCGCAGTGACCGCAGGAGGGGTACCGGCCGGAGTGCGCCCCGCAGAGGGGGCGGCGCCCAGGGGGCAGCTGCTTCGGCTGTCGCCCCCCCCCAGACCGCGGGGACACCAGTGGCCAGCGGCTCTGACGCCCCGGAAAGACAGGATCACGCTGCTCTGGACCCTTTCCCCTCGGGCCTCCGCGGCGACCCGCACTGACCTGTATGCGAAGCCATGGGCAGCGGCGATGGGAAGTACTTGCCCGGCTGGAAGTGCGCCGGGGGCTGCGTGGC